TGAATATCTCTGAGAGATGGTGCAGACATCTCCAGTGGTAGGAAGTTCACAGTCTGCATGCCATTCACAAATTCTAAATTCACTGTCATCTAGCACCCTATGGTCAATTTCCCCAACCACAATAATTTACTTTTTCGAAAAATTTCTTTCTTATATAGAGCTTTCACCCGGTGGTTCTATTTCAATCCCCTGGAGTCACTCTTTTCAAAATTAAAGGCCTCTATCCTTTTTCAGTTATATCTTTTTAACATTTTGAAAAATATTATGTAATTTCTAAGTCTCCGAATACTTTGACGTTGGATATCTGAACTTAGAACTGGATACAGTTCTCCAAATGTGGGCTGGTGGGGTTTAGTGGAGTCACTGCCACCTTGAACCAGGCACAATGATATCACCAACACAGTCTGGTTTTTCCTCCTAGTAAGGGGGTCACATGACTCTCTTACATAACAGTACTTTGACCTTTGAATTTATTATTTCATATGAGTTGCCACAAAGTGGCGGTTCTCCATTTTATTCTCCTATAATAGATTATTTTTTTAAGCATAAATACAGGTTCAAATTTTATCTTGGTGGCTTAGGCCCTTCACTCCAGCCTGTTGAAAGCTTTCTGAACCTTGATAATGCTGAACAATAATACATTTGCCTTCCTCCCAGCTTTTTGTGGTCTGTAAAAAGACTGCCCCAGTTCTTGATAAATACATTGAATAAAATAGAATCAAGCAAAGGGCCCAGAAAAATGCCAACAGAGCACTTTCTACTTGCTAACAATTTTATGCATTGACATTTTATGGGACAATTTTCCAAATAGTTACAAATTGACCTACTTCATTGCCACTCAGTTCATAGTTCTCCATCACAATAATATCACAAGAAACTGTCAAATGACTTGGTGAAATCAATGTGCATTTTGTGGCTTAAAATACTTCAAAATACTTCAAAGGTTCTCCATTACTCTGAGAATAAAGTCCAACTCCTTAACGTAGCTTTCAGATCTGACTCTTTCCTGTTTCTCCTACCTTTCTCTCCTCACTCCTCACTCTCCACTTTGAATTCTATGCTTCAGTCTTCCTGAACTATCTGCAGCTTCCTAAGCCACTTCACTCTCTGTCAGCTTGAAGTCTTTAACCTCCTGTTTTCTTTTTTTTTAAAAAATTTCACAATATTATGGAGGTACAAACGTATAGGTTACACATATTGCCTTTGCATCACCTGAATCAGAGCTACAAGCATGCCCATCCCCCAGATAGTGCGCACCCCACCCATTAGGTGTGAATGCACCCATCCCCTTCTCCCCCTCCCACCTACCAGATACCCAATGAATGTTACTTCCATATGTGCATATAAGTGTTGATTAATTTGTACCAATCTGATGGTGAGTGTATGTGGTACTTGTTTTTCTATTACTGTGATACTTCACTTAGGTGAATGGGCTCCAGCTCCATCTAGGATAACACAAGAGGTGCTAGTTCACCATTGTTTTTTGTGGCTGAGTAGAACTCCATGGCATACATGTACCATATTTTATTAATCTTCTCATGTGTTGATGGGCATTTGGGTTGTTTCCACATCTTTGCAGTTGTGAATTGTGCTGCTATAAACATTCTAGTATAGATGTCTTTTTAATAGAATGTATTTTGTTCCTTTGGGGAGATGCACAGTAGTGGGATTGCTGGATCAAATGGTAGTTCTACTTGTAGTTCTCTGAGATATCTCCGTATTTCTTTCCTTTTCTCTGTCTGGAATCTTTGCCCCTCATCTAAGAGTTTCCTTTCATCTTTCTCCCATTACACTCATGTTGAACCCCGTGAAGAGTGACCTTGTGTTCTTTTCTATTACTCCCACTAGACTTAAATACCCCTGAAGGCAATGACTGCCTTATGGGGCATTTTATCCCCAAAGCCTATTATGGTAAACAACACATAGCAGGGACTCAGTGCATTTATTTTTTGAATCATTCCTGACTGATATTTGAATGAAATTTGCCTATAATATTCTTTCCATTTCCAAATAATTTGTCATGAATTATTTTTGGTGAACTTATGCTGGTCTTTGATGACTTCCTCTCTCCCTACTAAGTGCATACAAATAATTGAGTTAAGAAGTTTAGAATGTTGCTGGTATGAAAGTCAAACTCATCTGGCTTTAGATTATGAAATCCCCCTTTTTGAAATCTAAGGCATTTGCTTAGCTCTGATCTTTTGGCAATTTTCCCATTCCCTCTGATTTTTTTTTTCCCAGGATAGGAGCAGCTGCAATAACAGCTGCAAATTGTTTTAATTGTCTTAGATGTAATGCATCTGGACTTGAACACATTTTAAAGATGCTAGACACTCTCTTACAATCTCCCCTACTAAGATTTGTGTTCTATCCTTTGTAGTCTGAATATCAGTCTCCTTCATGGAGGAGAAACTGAAGCAAACCAGAAAGAGAATGTTCTGCTTTCTTTCTTCTTTCTTTTATTATATTTATATTAACTCATCTATTCCTGTGTCTTCTTATTAAAAACACAGTCTTTTAAAATACAACAACAACATTTTTTTTTTTGGTTTTATCTAAACTGAGGTCTGGAAGGTTTTACCAGCAAGTTGTTGGGGCAGGAGGAATTTTAATGGTTAGACACGAAACAGCGATCTTTATAGGTATCCACGACCTATTTGATTCCAGACATTGCAATAGACGGGGATGTTGCTACAAACATGACTTATTCCCTGTCTTTAAGGAGCTCATGGTCAAACACAGAGTGTTAAAGGCCATAGTAGAGTATTTCATTTAGCTGTGAATCTTCCCTGGTTAAAAAAAAAGGTACTGATAAAATAACTGTCTATTTCATATGATTTAGTTTTATTTCCTTCCATCCATCTATATACTTTTAATTCATGGTTCTCAACCATAGCTGCATGTTAGAGATTCTGAACTGAGTAGCAGTGAAATAGGTAGATTTCTAACTATTTGGGAACTTTTTATAACACAATGTAATCAGAGCCAACTCAGTCAGGATCTCTGAGTGTGGAGACCTGGGTGGCAATACCTATTAAAACTCCCTCAGAGATTCTATATTCAGTGAGTTGAGAACCACTGTCTTGAATACTTACTATGTATATAAACAGAGTTGTGCCAGGGGCTGAGGAAGACATATACTATCTTATGTGATACAAAGTCCTTGCTCACCAAGAAGTTATGCTCTATTTGAGTAGACAAGGCATGCACATGGAAATGGTCAAAGTAAAACTGCAAGCTAGTATATTACTATATGGTTAAGAGCCAAAGAGAGAGGTAGAAGCAAAAAATGCCATGGAAGTTCTAGGAAAAAGGAAATAAATCGTGGACTAGAGTTGTGAGAGGAGAGTGGGACTTTGCAGAATGCACAGGATTAGGTAGCCAGTAGGACAAGGGCATGCAGTTCTCACTTGTAGCACATAAATAAGCAAGGGCTTGATGTCAGGAGTGAGTGGAATATTCTGGGCATGTTATTGGACAAAATCAGCCAAGATTGACTGGAAGTTTTATTTGAGGGACCCATTAAACTTAGGTTATGAAAGTAAGGCCCAAGCATGTTAGTTTGAGGTATTTTTTAATTTAAAAGATAGCCAATGCTTTTCTTTAAATCATAGTGATTAAACATTCTCAAATGTTCTTCAGATTTCAAATATGTCATTGATTAGTCTCAGGTTTGCCACTAATTAAGTGTAGAATCTGCAATATAAATTTGGTTAAGGAGAGAGGAAGCTAGAACTTATGGCCAAATAGAAGTATTCTAATGCTCAAATTCATTCGTGTTAGTGGTGTCCTGGTAAATGCACAACAACCAGCTCTCTGGTGGCAGGACAAAAACCCCTGACTTATAGTGTTTGCTGATTTCCATGGTGTAAATATTAATACTACCACTCTGACCAATTTCAAAACCACTAACAGTTTAAAAACCAGTGTGCAAAATTCCTGAAAATCTGTCATTGACTCTCACAAATTGGTCTGAGCTGGCTCCAGCACGCCACACTGGCTTATGTCTACATTACCTCTCTCCTAACAATGGTTTGTCTCTGGGAAGACTGGCATCAAGGTATGGAAGATTTGCCCTTGAAGGTTAATATTCAGTTTACTGTAAATTTATTGTTAACTCGCTTAAAAAAATGGGTGTTAAAAGGAGAAAATCCTAACACTTTCAACTCGGGATAATTTGAAAGAGCATTTAGACATCCATGATTTAGAAAACGCCATTCCGGAAGCATCTTCCTCTGCCAAAGGGGCCCTGGAGTGCTCAGTGGCTGGGCTGAGCTCTCTCTTATCACCTTAGTTTGATGGTGTTTCCAGTGGGGAGCTATTAAGGGTTTAAAAAGCTTCCTTACCCGCCCGCCCCAGTAAATATGCTGGATAAATCAGGGGACCTTGTTTGCCCCGCAGGAGGAGTCATAGTCAGGCTTCCTCCCCAAGCTGGGCCCCTGCCCCAAGGATGCTGGTGGCTTTGGCCCCTGAGCCCCCTGCCCGGTTGGTTCCCTGGTAAAAGCGGCGAGGCTGCACCTGCCTTGTGGGTGCAGACTCCGCAAGACTTTAACCCCCCCAGCCCTGGCCGGGCTGCAGTCATTCGCAGAGCCCGTTAGCGGCGGCCCGCGTCCCTCCTCCCGCCTCGGGCGCGCGGGCGAGCGCGGCGCCACCTGCGGCCGCACCGGGGCTGCGCCCCTGCACCGGCCTGCAGCCCTGCCACATTTCCCTTTTCTTCCCCCTTTCAAGAGCAACTCGTGTGTGGGCGGGAAAGCCATTTAGCTCAAAATAAAGACTAAAATGTTTTTTTTTTCCTTCTGATAATGTCCCTGGTTCCGCCGCTCTCGGTATTATGCTCCGTGATGTGCCGCGTGCAGCCATTTTGCCATCGCTTTGGGTCATCCTTGCTCACAATTGGTTATTTACTCAGGGGCTTTTGAAATTATTGAGTTGACACATCTGTCAGACGGCAAAAGCAGAAATGCTAAAAGGTCACTTGGAGAGAAACCAGCTGCTCCAGACAAACCTTTCTGCCTCCAAATAGCACAATCATTACAGCCTGACAGATGGGGCCTTTGCTTTCATTTCAGGCGCTCCCCTCGCCTTCAGGTATTTAGCTACACTACCTCATTGCCAGGTCAGCCGGGCCTCCTTGTAATTGCCCACACGATAGGCGTCTCTCTGCTTAAGAATCACAGCTCTATTTTCTCTAAACAGGAAACCAGAGATGAGCTACCCAACGCTTGCCACAAACTTTCCTATTAACAGATTAGTTTTGACAGAGGTAAGCATATTTCTATTACTTCTGCAGCCTTCATTACACCCTGAAACACCGGGCTGGGTCTGATTTAACGGTTTGGAGGGCTTTTGAGGGTCTCTGAGTACATGGCCCCCAGGGAGTAGGACTGGGAGTCCCTTTCCCCTCTAAGTCTGCCTCATCCTCATCCCACTCACCTCTTTGTGTGCCCCTGAGAATGTGCTGGGAGGAGCAGGGTGGAAGGGGATGCCTGTCTGGGCTGCTGCATCGGGCGGGAGGTTTCACTTAGTTGACTTTTCTGTTAGACTGACTCACGTGTCTCTCTGTGTGTGTATTTATGGCAGTGGGAGGTAAAGTAAAATAAAAATAAAAAAAATAAAAACTAGCTGATGTTGAACCTCAACTATAGAAGGACTAAACGGAAATCCTTCTATAATCAGATTCTTACAAGCTCTGTTTTAGGGGACAATTAATATGTCAGCAGTTGTAATGACAACACCTTAATCTTTTAGAGTAATGACAAATAAATTGATCAACCTACAGATGTGTCTCTCAAATTTGAATGGTGATGAGGGCGATTTGCAGAAACCTGAGTTTAAACATGGCTCTTTCCTCTGAATTAGTAATATTAACAGTACTAAGGTAAAGTTTTCTCTCTGCCAATAGGGATGCTTCAGTGGGCTAGTTTAAAAGGTAGTACTTTGAGGTACATGCACAAGGCTGAGTGAAAGGAGGTATGGGAGTTGCCTCATAATTGCAATCAGAATTCTAAAATCAGTACACCTTGAGTAGGGGAGACAGCCTCAATATCCCCTTTCAGCCTGCTAGGGCTTCACATGTAAATGAACAGGAACCTTGAGACTTCACTTTGGAGATGCTATCAAAGAACTTCAAACAGAAAAAACAATAACAAAACCATCAACAACCCAATACTGTGACAACCCAGGATTAACACCCTAAAATTGATGATTTCCCTTTAGTTATCCCCAATCTACTATCTTGCCCATTAGTCTTCAGTTTCTATCCTTGCAGTCTCTTCATTCTGTCTTTTATTCTGAGGGTGGAACAGTGACTTGCAGTTGGCTTTATGGTCTGTGAGCTCCAAGAGTAACTGTTATTAGCAGCAAAACAACAAAAAAAGGCTTTCTGAATTGTTATCTCCATTATTGCACAAAAATTCAATGAAGTCTTGTTATACATCATAGTCTGAGCTTTGTGATTTAAGAAGTGGTGAGAAGTTGAGAACTGAGATAACTTGTGTCAGTATGACCTGTTATTTCCAGGAAATTTTTTTCTCAAAAAGATAAAACTGTAAACCAGTAAATAATTTTCCTATTAGCTTTTGGAAATTCTTGCAGATTAATTATCTGAGCAAAACATTTGGTCATTTGGGGAAACCGTTCTATCAGGATAATAGAGTCCTTATCTAGGCAACACTTCACTTATCAAATAATAGTTTATTTTTCACCACTTGCTTGAAGACATGGGTGTTGATGCATTCATCAATTCTAAACTATTTTGTCATACACTTTGTCCAATTTCAATTAGTTCTCTACCTTGAAAGACTCTTTAAACTAGATTCCAGAATCCTGTAAGTCTGCAGTCCCTAATCCCCGGGCCATTGACTGGTACCGGTTCGTGGCCTACACCCCCCATGGAAAAATTGTCTTCCCTGAATCTTAGGAACCAGGAGTAGGAGGAACGCACAGTAGGTGAAAATGATGCAAGCATATTTACAGCCACTCCCTATCTACCCATTGCTCTCATCACTGCCTGAGCTCCACCTCCCCCCACCTCCCTGAAAAGTTGTCTTCTATAAAACTGGTCTCTGGTGCCAGAAAGGTTGGGGGTATCTGCAGCATAAGTATCTTCTTCTAATCTACCTCTTTTGAGATGTTGCTAAGTCTCTGTCATAGTGGTATTCCTTACAGCAATACATCTAACAAACTTGGGTTTGCTCAACCAATAGGCTTTTCTGGTGGTCTTTTTGGGGGAGCTGATGGTCAACAAAGGAAACTGGTTTCCAATCTTGAAACACATCAGAACAGGAAGTTCTGATATAGTAGTATTTCAGAACATGGGTGATAAGGAGAGGTCACAAGATAGATTTTATAGCATATGAATATTCCACAGGGGTTCCCAGAAATTATGTGAAGAAAACCTGGTAGAAAAATAGACTTCCTGTGATTCATGGGACAGGATTCAGAATCATTAGAATTTTAATATTAAATATTTTAATATTAAATATCTTACTTTGAACTCGTCAGAGCTGTTGAAATCTGGGGACATATAAATTCTTAGGCAGAAAGGACATATTTTGGAGCTTTAGAGGAATTGGAAACCTATAAGAGAAGGGGATGGGATCATAAATGACTTTATGCTGGAGGTAGTAGCATTTGAGGTGGGCCTTGAAGAATGGAAAGAGTTTGCTGATGTGTGTGTGTGGTAATGTGGGAGGTGAGTGTTGAGGACATTTGGAATAGGGTATGATGAGAGAGAAACTGGTTAAGGAAATAGGCATCTGATTCAGAGGCCTGGATTTGAAGCCTAATTCCACCACTTAATATGGTACAGGTAATTGCAGACAAGTTGCTTACCTTCTCTAAGTCTCATCCATAAAATAGGTATAGGATACCTACTTTATTAAGGTTGTTATAAGGATATAATGAGATAATATATGTAAAGTGAGTAGAAAATTTTGTGGATACAGTAAAGACTCAATAGATGGTGGCTATTATTGCCATTTCTTCTTATTATTATTGTTACAGGGTAAGACAAATACAGAAGAAAGAATGGGAAGAAAACTCAGGGCATATTCTGGGAAAGACTGGAGCCTAAGCTATGCATAAACGTATAGTAGAAAACCATTCTGAAAAAATTGGGGCCAATGAAGAAGAGCTTGAATTTATTTAAAAAAATTATTCAGTAGGCAGTAGGGAGCTCATGAAGGTTTTTGAGCAGGGAAACAGAATGATCATGCATAGGATGGATGAGATGGAAGAAAAGAGCAAAAGTTAGAGAGACCAATTAACTAGTAGGCTATTAAAAAATCAATAGGAAGTAAGCCAGGGTGATGTTTCTCATAATAGACTGAAAGACTAAATGCAAGGGAGAATGTAGTTTAGGTAAAAATTTTATTTTGTCCATTCAACTATCTAAAACACATCAAATGAATTTTGTTCAGATCTTTAAAACTAGCTTCTCATGCTGGTGTCACAGTTTATGCTCAGACCCTGCCTTGTATCTGACACCTCATCCCAAGAACACTGGGAATGTGAAATGAATGCACAGAAAAAGCAATGAATTAGTGCATCTGAACTCTGTCTAGTTTGTAATATAGTTACGTCACTTAAGAAATGACCATAGGAGTAAGTAGTAGAGTGTGATGCTTAGTTTTACTACAGTTCTGCAAATTCTAATCTTCTCTAACTTTTTATCATATAGGTAGTTAAATTTAATGCCCTTCCCATCCTTTTGTGTTCACATCAATTTGGGAAGGAAGCATTAACAAATCCACTGAATATAGTATTTTTTGAATCAATTATTTCCATGCTTTATCTATTGGTGTTCAAATTTATTTAATTAGTAGGCTCTAATTTGCACTAAATAGAAAAGCTGGGACTCAGAGCAAGTACCAGGTGACACTAATGTTAGCCTAATTGGTCAGATCTGTGTTAATTATCAGGTAACTTGGCCAAATAATAAAGCCACTCGCAGACAAGGACAAAGTGATTTTAAAAGTCTCTCTTAACAAGGAGTTATTTCTCTAGAACAGCCTAGCAGCTTTGAGAGCCACAACGTGTTATTTACAGGGGGTCTTGTTAGAGATTCCATTTTTAGATGGAGGCTGAGAATTAAGGATCAGGATTTAAGGTCAGGAGATACAAATCAGAATAAGTGAAAGAAGCACAAAGGGAGAGAGATCAGCTTGAAGGGTTTGGATGATATTTAGAAGGGAAATGAAGAACATAGTGTATTTTATTCTTAAATAATTAAACCTGTGAAAAGATTGAGAACTATCTAGATAAATCTAAACCACCTTCAAGGATTAATCAACAAAAGACTTCACCTTTCTGATGGGGATCATATTATACATGTGGTGTGGTTTTCTGATCCTTTATCTTAACATACTATGAGCACCATTTTCCCCCCATGGTGTTAATTATTTCCTCAAAACCACTTGCCTAACTTTACAATTAAATCAGGCAAATCATAGATCACATTTTAACCTTCTTACTTGAATAGGGAGATAACGATAAGAACAGGATGAAGAGGGTATCTGTCAAGTTCAAATGGTTGGGTAGTATAAGTATTCCATGTAAACGGGAGGGAGGGAGCCCCTATTCCTTCAATCAGCCTGGGAAATTAATAAAAAAAATGTTAGGAGGGCAATGTATGAAGCTGTACTAAACTAATCGAACCTTACTCAAATTTCTTACACCAAAGCAGATCTCATTCAATAACCTTTTTAAGTTTAGGTTTTAGGATTGTTCATAGGAGGATACAGCCAGTTAGAAAGTTTGGCCCCCTGCTTGTTTTTTACAGTCCATGAGCTAAGAATGTTTTCATATTTTTAAATGATCAAAAAAAATCAAAATAAAAATGTTTAGTGATATTAAAATTATGTATAATTCAAAATTCAGTGTCCATAAATAGAGTTTTATTGGAACACTGCTATACCCATTCATTTACATATTGTCTACAGCTGTTGTTTATGGCAGCCTTCATATTACAGTGGTGGAATTGAGTGGTTGGGATGGAGTCTGTATGGCCCAAAAAGCCTAAAATTATTTACTGTCTTTCCCTTTATGACAAAAGTTTATCTACCTTTGCTCTAGAAGGTACATTTTTATCCTTATGTCCACAGATCTTCCTGGAATTTTAAAAGTAATTCTAGACCCTTAATAACAACTTCCTTTGTTCCTTCCTTTCTTCCTTGACAGAGTCTCACTCTGTTACCCAGGCCGAAGTGCTGTGCCCAATCATAGCTCACCGCAGCCTTGAACTCCTGGGTTTAAATGATCTTC